AAATGAGATATTATTTAATTATATTTCGATTATTAATTTGATATAATATTTGAAATATATATAAATATTATATATAAAAGCAAAAAAGCAAAACAATTTATTTTAAATCAATTCTTTATTTCCCAAAAATACGACAACAAAATACAAAAATCCAATTTCATCTCAAGTCTCGACTAAATAGCTTTGAAATAATATATTTTGTAAATAATTTTAAAAAGCAAGTGATTAATCGATTTGTGTTTTATATATAATTATTAATGATTTACACTAATTAATGAAAAGACACCACTTTTTAGTTTTGAATTTGTATAAGTTATGTATAACTACTTTGGGAACAGTTTCTAAGCTATTAGTTGTTCACAGAGTTGTTCATCAAAACAAATGCCGATACAAAGAGACGTCGATTATATAGAGTTGAACTGATTTTTTGCACTAAAAGCGACAATTAAGTGAAAATAATAATAATAATGATTAAGTTATATTAATGTATATTATATTCATTACTTTACTATTAATTGTAATTCTGTGCTATTGTTTACCGCCGGTTATTAGAGACCATCCTTTTAATCATTACTCTCTTCTACTCTCTCTATCTCTCTCTACGAGTTATTACTGTTTATTGTATTTTCAAATATTTGTACTGAATATTGATTTTAAAACAATTTGTCAAAATAATACAAAACAATTGTAAGTTAAAAAATATATCGGAGATTATATAATACAATAGTTTTAGAACCAAATCAAATTTATTTTTAGTTATTTTCTCTAAATTATTAAACGGTTATGATTTGATCGCAACAATGTTGTATAAAGTTATGTAAATTTATGCTTGAATTGAAAACTTGTTTTTACTATTTATATAATATTATGAAACTTGTGATCGTTTTCTCTATTTTCCATTCCTTTCTCGCAATTATCGCTGAAATTGCAAAACAACAAAAACTCATGTTTTTAGTTCAATAGTGACAATAAGATTATTATGATTAAAATATTATGATTATTATTACTTAAAAACATTTAATAGATTCTTATTTTCAAATAAACACATCTTTTTTATTTATATTTATTTTCTATACTATAGTCTCAACAAAAATTTAATTAATAAAACAAAGTTTAGTAAACGACTATTTACACGAAAAATTAAGTGAATTCTTGTTTTGATTAGATTTCAATAAATTTCTGCTCAAAAACAATGTTTAGTAGAAATAAATGAATGAATAAATTGTGAAAACTAAATAAGAATTTCATATTTATTTAAATTATAATTTTAATTAATGGGACCGAGAGTTGATTTGAGGGATAACTTGTGTCAATCACGTCAGGAATCTGTGCTGACAATCCAATAAACGATTAATTTCTTTGCGAATAAAAATTATTTAATTAATTTCAAACCTATGTTATGCATAACTTATGCAAAAATACTTAATCTCTGTTATTATGATACTGTATTAAAACTACAAATTAAGTTATAATCATTTGTTCTTTCATTGTATGAATAGATAAAGTGTAAGGATTTGTCTCATTTCTAAATTCTCCCAGAGCTCATAGAGTGTATGATACAAATATACCGGTAGTAGAGGACAGGTATTTAACTTAAGGTAATCATTATATTTCAATTAAGGTTTCGTTTCTTATGAATGAATAAAACGAGTTATGATTTTAAACAAATGATTTCTTTTATTGAAAATTACGAAAATGGGAAATCATTTTCAAATCAAATGAGACTTTGCTTTTTAAACAGTGAATAGACTTTTGTAGACATCCTTGAGAGCCGTGAGGTGTGCCTTCTTCTCGCGCATCACGTCTTTAAACTTTTCGGTCTCATTGCCGATGAGTTTGCCGTCGATTTTCAGTGTCTTGACGGCCTCCGAGTCCTCTTTCAATACTTTGTACGACTCTTTGAGCGCCGAAAACGATTTGAAGCACTGCTTCCAATCAGACTTGTCCGCCACCGTCTGGTTCTTCAGATGCATGTAATAAGCATTGGTTATGAACAGCAAACCCTCCCAATGGCGGCAACTTTTGGCACATTTCGACCAATCGACTAATGACACGAACCGCTGGACGTGTTGCACGGCATCCGAGTATTTATCGCAACTCACGAAAGATTTCGCGATTTTGAGCTCTAAGTCGAAGATCTCTTCGCATTTACTGTAATGCAAATCAATGAGTGTTTGCAGCGATTCTTCCGCTTTCTTGAGACTCGACTCTATTTTCTCCCACTTTTCGGGCGACAGCTCTTCTTCGCTCAGAACTGACTCATTGTCCGCCTCTTCGGGCGCCTCTTTCTTCTCCTCCTTTTCGTTGCCTTTACTGTCGCTCTTCTCTTCAGCGCTTCCATCGTCCGACTTCTCGGCGTTGTCGTCTTCGACGTCATCGAACTGGTCTTCGTTTTGGTTGTTATCGCGGACTTCCTTTCTCTGCAGAATCTCAACAGTTCTGAGCGCCTCTTCGTACTCGAGTCTAAGATATGCCACTCTATTGACCACTTCTTTGATGTTATCATAGACTGATCCGCAGTTAAGGCACGCGTTGTTATCGTCTCTCTGAGTGTTGGGCACGAAAAGGACGGGTCCCTCGCATTTGAGACACTTGAGCGCCGGGTATTTCCTGACCTGAAGGAGACAGAGCTCGCAATTGCATGTGAAGTGGTAGTGATTCCTCAGAATCTGTTGTCTTTGCTCCAAAGGCATCCAACCGTTGGGTCCGTAACAGATGCAGAGCTCTTCGCCGGCCTCCACGTCCCTAATGGTCGAGAATATGATCTTCTCTTCGAAGAAATGCCAACTCATGTTCGGAACGCACGAGTGGTTCACGAAAGAGCCGTAAAGAGTGACACACGAGCCGACGTTCAATCCATTGGCAGAGTTAGGGGTCTTGTAATTCCAACCGAAACTGTTGGTCACAGTCTTGCGGAACATCTGCACCACAAACGCCACGAAAGACACGAACGTCTGCTCTTCGTATGTGACGAACGACTTCTTGTGTTCCATCATAAGTGCCAATTGGATGGCCATTAGAGCCTGTTTTGCGGCGTCTTCTGCGGTCACCTTATCGTTGTGATCGACTAAAGTGAGCTGACCTTCGAAGTGGTGTCTGTACTCGTCTCTCAACTGCCTGTAGACCACCGGACAGTCTCTGCCATAGAACCGGTTCATCCATTTCTGCAGATCGAAGGCCTCCTTCTCTGTGTTTGTGGCCGTCTTGAAGGCGTGTTCGGCACCTATTCTTGTGATCGTTCGGAACGTCTGGTAGAAAGGGCTCTGCAGTAGAAGTCCAGTCATTTTGCACTCGTATTGATGGAAGACAGAGATCCCTCTGTCATGACAGGTGCGGTCGCAGAAGACCACTTCCGAGCACCAGACACACGGCCAGAACTGATAGCCCACTCTCTTGAAGCAACAGTTGCAGAATGAGGTGCTGTTGGCGGCCGACAGCACTGCCGTCTGCGGTCTCTCAGCGATCACTACCTCTCCCTTTTCGATCTTCTCTTTGGCCACCAAATGGCGTCCCTTTTCGGGTGTGCTCTTCAACTCGAACTTCTGGTCAATCCAGACGTCATAGTCCTGTTCCCTGTCCTTCTCTTCGGGTTCTCTTTCGCTGTCGTAAGCGACCACCTCTTTGTTGAGCACTTCCTGGAGCTCTTCGAATTTGGCCATCAATTCGGGTGTCGTCTGTGTCTTGTAGTACTCCTTGGAGTGCAGCACACCGTCGACCAGTCGTTTCGCTTCATCGAACCGCCGAAGGAATCGTAGACAATAGGCTTTGTGTGAAAGCATCTCAACAGTCGATCCCAAGAACAGAGATTTATTGGCGTCGAAGAGAGCGTTGGAGTAATCGCCGACACGACTGAAGGCTATGGATCGGGCGGTGTAGCACTTCTGGAGTTCCTTACAGTTGTCTCCCTGTGTGGGGAACGGGGCGTACAGTAAGGCATATGTGTAGCTATGGATGGCTTGGATGTAGTTCTTGGCCACCAATAGGTTGTCGCCGTTCTCTCTGTGCTTCTGCGACGTCTTCGCGCTCTTTCCGTGATTTTCCTGATATTCGTTGATCTTTTTGGTGATCTCTTCGCGAAACTCGTTCAACGGTTTCACGTTTTTGAATATATAACTGATTCGACTCTCGTTGGTGTCCAGAGTCCGGAACTCCTTGTCTTTGAGCAGTTGCGCCCAAAGAGCTGCGAATTCAGATGTTTCTAATATCATCGCTTAAGGCTACCTCTGAGTGTGTCTATCGATAGAGTCTTCAGATATTGGATGTGATTTGCAAAAGATTTTAGATTTTTCGATTGATTTACTGATGATTTTGACCGTTTGGTAAGATTTGAAATGTCTTTCACTCCTATTTATAGCCGATTCCGAAGTAACGGTCATTTGATTGTATCGCGCGCTCACACAATGGCTATCAATGAACTCAACGACCCTTTGTTTTTGAATTGAATTAAAAGCGAGACTTAAATCTCGAGAAAAATAATTTATTATTCATTGATTCACTCAAAGTTCAGATTTGAGATCATTTTGTGGTCTATTTGTGGCAAATGAGAGCAATATATTGAGTTTGCCTTTGATTTCTTTGCGCTTATTTTCGGCCAACTTTTGGCTAACGATTCCGTTGAGTCTCTGCGTCTCGCTGTCGATGAATTGGTCGCCCTTTTCGATCACTTTAGTCATGAACTGGATGTAGACATCGGCCCACTTCTTGTGCTCACTGTTCGTCAACTCTTGCAATCGTTGTTGAGATTCATTCAGCAGATCACGTCTTTGCCGATCACTGGTCTCGGGACCCATAAAACGCTGCGAAATATCATCAAACTCTGGCAAACAGTTCTCCAGCGGTATTCTCACACCAGAATGTCTTCGTATGAATCGTATGATTGGATCCGATTTGAATTCGTCGTCAAAATGAATTGGATTCTCGACATCGCCGCCGATGAACAGCTTGAGGACAGGGAAGTCATCTTTGGTGATGCCATACTTGTTCATCAAATCCATGTTCTGTTTTTCACCGAACTCTTGAACGCCCACTTCGGCCATCACTATATCACCGATGCTTTTGGCCATTTGTGACACTTTCTCGAACTCTTCGTGTTTCTCGCCGTACGGATACTGGATATCAAACTTCACTAAAGATGTCTTAAATTTGGTGACAATCTGTTGGCCATAACAACACACGACAGACAATGTTAGTGCCAATAGAGTGACAGCAAAGAGGTCTTTGAAATAGAGTCCAAAACCTTATCGAAAGTAAATGAATCCAAAACTACTGAACCGCTTAACGCGTCCAACGCCGACATCATCTGCAATACCATCGACACGACGAGTGTCACAGCGGATGACAAGTGTCTCATGTCTTGTGGGGGCAGTGAGTGAGTGATAGTGAGTGCGGATGTGCTGTCTGGCGATGTCTTGTGTCACCAAATGAGTGGTCAAATGAATACAAACATCAGATTTTCAGTGACTTATCGATCGTTGAATACAATGTGAAAAAGTTGTCAAACTTGTGATGAGACTCTCATGAGAGAGCACTGGGAGGACAGGCATACAATTTGGGTACAGGTGCTGGTGGTGTGCGTTGGTGTGCAGAGATGGCAGTGTGCGAGCCATAGGCTGTGTGTCTATTGGGAGGAACGGGAGGAATGGGAGGATTCAAAGATGGATGACTTGTATGACAATACAAACTGCAGTCTCTGTTAACATCACATTACCAGTCATTGTGTCCAACATTTGTCACGAACTGTGCGTTCATTACACCATTCAATTGATCCCAAGACTATTGTATGCCATTCGCGAGCCACTCATGACATGCAGACATCGCTCACTCAGTGACCAAATGAATGCCGTTTAAGACAACTAAACACTGGCTCCCAATGAGTCTGTGAATGGCATTTAGTGTCGGCCAACAGGTCTAGTGTGGCATCAAAGTGACCGCCGAGGAAGCCATGCATTACTAACTCTTAGTGTCCAGTCATATCCATATCTGAGACCCGATTCGTGCCATTAGTTTGTGTGAAGACTTTTCTGGCCGAAGAGATGCCAAACACTTCTTGTAATCAACAAAATGATGATTTCGTGAGTCTTTAGCCGACCGTTGCCTCCAATGCCTACCATTATATTCATAGCACTTATGCCTCGAAATGTGTGTTTTTTTGTGTTATTAACGGTTATATGAAAGACAACTTTAATTGAACGCAAAGTCAATGGTTTTTCCCCTCAATTGCAATGAGTTTTTCAACTCATTTCGCAAAACATTTTTCTCCATTAGTTTTCCCTTTAAATCTCAAACAGAAATATGTTTTTATAGAAAATCCTTGTTTTGAAAGCTTTTTTCAAACTCATTTACATGTTTGATATAATTTGGCGTAAATATTGACGATATTATAGTTGATATGAATGTCGGCTCCGACTGTGAGTTAAGTTGCATTTATGTGTCACTTGTTTTTGGGTAACCGTTTGCCATACAATCCGCACAAATGTATTATTTTGTTGTCATATTTGTTAAACAGTTTTGTTTGAATGCAAATGAATTGTAGATTAATTTGGTTGCGAATTGAGTGCTAAATATTTGGCACTTAAATGCCATATGAATGGTTAAAATTGATTGA